TTTTATTTTTAAACAAATTTTTAAAAATTTTAGAAACAGATTTATTTTTTGAAAAGACTTTTAAAACTTTATTTTTTTAAATTAGAAGTTTATCAAACAACTTTTTATACTTTATTTTTTTTGGACAATTTTAACACTCATCAAAGGTAAAATTCACTAGTTATATAATTAACTAATAAAATTACAGGATCTTATATAACTATAATACAGAAATTTTAAATAAAAAAATTAAAAATTATTAATATCTTAAAATTTTATTATAAAAACTTGTATTATATTACTAAGTAAAGTTTTTAGCTCTTAATTTTATATATAATAAATATTCTAACTCTAATATAGACCTCACCTTAACTCTAAAGTTAAAGAAAAAATAGTTTTTTATTAAGAAATAATTAAACTGAATATATACTCTCAAATAAATTTATTTTTTTTTATCGAACAATTTTAAAACTTTATTTTTATTAAACAATTTAATTTATTTTTAAAAATTTTAATTACAAATTTATTTTTCTTTTGGTGAACTACTTGAATCTATTTCTAAATTTTTTTTTCATTTAATACCTACTCTACAGAAGTCTAATCTAAACTATTTTTTAGAACTAAATGAACCTTCAATCTTAATTTTTGATGTTACAAAATCCTATTTTTTTTTTTAAGTTTCTTTATCTCTTTTTGCAACTTTAGGACTTGTTCTTGAAGCTTATGTATTTTTGTTTCTTGAGTCTCATCTCAGGTTTTTTTTAAACTAACTCTTCTTTTAGAATTCTTAGTATCTAAAATAAAACAATGAAAAATTAGAAAATAATAATTTCTAAATATATATATACTCAAAATAAAAACAAAAAGAACAAGATTAAAGTATATAAATAAATCTTTCTGTAGATTACTTATACTAAAACTTCTTACAAATATTTAATTATTTATCAAAATTTTATTAAGTAAACTATCTTTAGGCTACTAAGTAAAGTTGTTCACAACAAAATTTAACTTCAAAGCAGATTAGTTTTATTTCTTTTAAATCTTTACTTGTAGAGATATTATATAGCTTCTATTTTTATAGTTTCTTCAAGTTTTCATAAAATTTTATTAAGTAAACTACTTCTAGACTCTTAAGTAAAGTTGTCTAATACAAAATTTTACTTTAAAACAGTTAAATTTATATCTCTCTAACTAAATTTTACAGAAATATTATATTTTTTCTTTTTATTTCATATTCTTTGAATATCTTAAAATATTACTAATACAACAACTCTTGGCAATTAAAAGAGTTAGATTATCCTATATTATAGCTTTATTTTAGTATAAATTTTATCAAAAACAGATCAAAACTCACCAAATTACTTCTGAAAACCTGTTTAAAAGCTTTCTAAATACTTGTAGATTATTTAGAATTTATTTGTAGTTTTTTTGAAAATTTTACTAGCTTGCTTTAGATTTTTTACTTTTTTTCAACTTTAAAGAAATCCAGATCACAGAATTCTGCTTACAGAATCTAGAAATCTTACTAGTATTTAGAAAATTTTACCGAACTTTACTTTAAATTTTAATTTTTATACTTATTTTAGTCTATTTTACTTGATTTTTTCTACTTCTTCAAGAAGTCTTCTTTGATTTTATCCTTGTTAAAGTATCTAAAAATACTACCTTTATAATATAACTATTTATTTATATTTCAATATATCTACTCTTACTACAATTAATGCTAATATACTTAATTTTAACTATTTCTATACTATCTATTTTAAAAGCTATAATATAGTTTTTAATAAAGAAAATCTTAGTAATATTCATGCAATTCCTGCAAGCCTTAGACTGATAGACTGAATTACTAATACTTTTTATAGAAATAACAAAATTATATATTTTATTAAGGCTTATCTACTACTTCTATCATCTTCTGTCTCTGTGATAAATATCACACTAATTTTATCTCATCAGACAAAACAATTAAAAATCTAACAAAAGCAACTGAGTTTACTTCTTTTACTGCAAATATATTTAGTAAAAAAACTAAAGCAGTCTTTCAAGACTTGAATAAAATTACTCAATATATTTTTTCTTCTTCAACACTAATTTTTTATAAGCATGCTTACAAAAAATACTAGTTTGCTATTCATTGCAAAATTACTAATAATTAACACCAACTCTCAAATAATACTAAATTTGAACAAGATAAAGCTATCTATTATAGTTGCTTTATAATAACTCCTATTTTATCAAATAACTCTTAACTACTACAACTTCATCTGCTAAAGATTTTACTAGTACTAAAAAAAATCTAATTTTAGTTTTTTAACAAACTCTTCAATCTAAACAAAATACTACTACTCCTCCAATTACCTCACTAACAATTGCTAATAACAATAATCTATCTAATACTCTTTCTGCTAAAACTTCTACTTTACAAATACCAGTAATATAAGAAAACTTATCATCAACTAAGTTTCTATCTCTACAAACAACTCAACTCTTAATATAATATTGACACTGATCCTACTCTAATTACAACTACAAATACTCCAACTTCTACAATTCAAGCAAATACTGAATCTACTAATAAAGAAAAAGCTAAAGATATAGAAAAAGTTTTATTAACTAATATTAATAATTAATCAACTTCTACTGATTCTAATATTTAAAAGAAAAAACTTAAACCAAATTTCAGTTGGCTTCATAACTTCTCTATCACAGAAGAAATGAAGCCTAATACTAAACTACAAATACCACTTTCTAAAAACTCTTTTATTTTTTTAAATTTCACTTATATGACTTCATATCAAGAAAAAAAAATTAAACTAGCAATTAGTACAAATAAAGCTCTAAAAGCTAGTTTCTATTAAGTCATTTACAATATGACTAGACAACAACTCAAATTCTTAACAGATTTAATTTTTCAAAACAACTCTAATATCAATAAGGAGACAACAATCTCATTTAATATACTAGAATCTATGATGAAAAACTTATTTACAAATTTACTATAATTCTATTCACTATATTAAATTATGCAGAAATTTTTGCATCTCTTTATACAATTCCTCTATTCAAAACTACTAGAAGGCTTCAATTTTGTATAAACTTGGCTAGAATTCATCTTTATCTCTCAAATAATTAAAATGTATTGAATTATATAAAATTTGCAGAAGACTTTAATCTCCGTCTAATAAGATTTACTATATTATCTGCAATTAATGCATTTAATCAGAAAAAAGAATATCTAACAATTAAACAAAATAAAAATTTAATATTACTCTTCTATTTAATATTCTAAAAACAAAATTTTTAGAAAAATTCAACATTCTATCTTTAAAAAACTCACTCAAATATTTTGAAAACTGGTTTGAAAAATTCTTCTTAATTTATAACTGACAATTTGATAAATTATTAAACAAAACAAAAGTTTATAATACTCTGAAACACCAATTCTGTTTACAATTTATTGAACAATTAACCTCATTTCTTCTAACTGAATATGAGATAGTTGAATCTCAAACTTTTGATGATAGAAGAAATAAAAGTATAAAAAGCTGAAATCACTATATTCTTACCTGCAGAGATAATGCTTCTATCTTTCTAGTCAAAAGAAAACATGATTTCTCAATATTACTTAAAAGATATACTGACTACTCCATTGAACTATTTTCAAAAAAATAAAGTAAAATTTGAAAAGAACCTTTTCTTAAAACTGAATTATTTGATCCACAACAAGAATATAAAACAATATTCTCTAAAGCTATTCTAACTAAACTTCTTGACCAACTTGCAGATAAAGCTAAACAGGAAGTTTACAAACTTAATAATATTGAAACTAATATTAAACATAGAAGCTTTTACTTCTACTAATACTTTAATTTTTACTATCATGAAGTAGCTATAAACAACAAAATTATTGACTTATCAGTGTTGTACTCCGAGTTATGTCCGAGTGATATATTATCACTCAGGTAATGTCCGAACTCGGACATGAATAAATTATCATTATTTATGTACAAAGAGTGCTCTACAGATTACTTGATTAATATCGATAAATTTTTATTCATTTCAGCACTTATTTTTGGCCTAGTTTGATACAGTAGTTTAAAATATATTTGTCCGGCGGACAAATTTGTTTGTCCGAGTCCGAGTCCGGTCCGAGTCCGGTCCGGTCCGAGTGACAACACTGAATTAGCATAACATAGTTTAGTCAAGCAACTATAACCTCGGCCCATGATTTTTGTATCGACCCGTATCACTAATTCCATTTGATAAATTATCTGATATTCAAGAAACTGGCAAAGGAGGATTTGGCTCTGTGTATTCATCAATTACGTACAAAAAATGGTCGTGTTGATTGTAATTATGCAAAAGAGCATAGGCTACTCAGCATCATTGTATTATCAAGTAATATAAAAACAAGTGCTTATAATGGAAATCTTTAAATTACATTATGACTTTCACAGTAGTGAATTTCGGAAGTGTGTCAATCTTATATCACAGATCTAAGGTTTAAGAAAGTTGTTATTTAAATAAAATGCGAGTAAGCACAATTTACTTTTTCGACAAAGTATCCAAACTGTCCAACGACAAATTACTCTAGAGTAACAAATAAACTGTTAATTGATTTACTTTATTTTATTTTAATCAAAATTCTAATTATCTGATCAAATTTCTCTGAGTATTATGAATGAATCAAGATTTTATGACAAAATCACATAACTTTACAGCTTCTGTTTAATAATTTGGCAGATTACAAAATTATTTGATTATATATATGCTCGATAATAAAGTAAAAAAAAAATATATGCCATGATCGATATTTCAAGAAATACACGAAGAAATTTTACGTAGAATACCACAAATTAAGATTAAACTTAAAAAAAGTATAAAATACGCTATCATTCGATTAAAATTTATAACTATTCTATTATGCTATTTCAATTAATCATTAATATAGTGTTAAATAACTTAGTGAATAAAATGTATAGAAAGATTTACAGAAATAATTTATTAAAATTTCCATTTCAATGCCCAAAATGTTTGCCCGTTTCTTCAGGTCGAGATACTGGTTTGTTTATGTTCTTTGATTGGGAATTTTGCTGATTCTGAGGTTTTGATTGACCTGTTGGTTCAGGTTGAGATACTGGTTTGTTTATGTTCTTTGATTGAGAATTTTGCTGATTCTGAGGTTTTGATTGACCTGTTGTTTCAGGTTTAGATACTGGTTTGGTGCTCTGTGGTTGGGACTTTGGCTGAGTTGTGACCTGTGCTTTAGCTGTAGTCATCACTTTAGTGGTTTTTGCTTGAACTGCAGCATTCATAACAACACCTGGTAAAGCACTGGTTTTAGCTGTAGTCATAGCTATAGCTGTGGTTTTAGCTGTGGTCTTAGCTGTGGGTATAGTAGTGGTTTTAGCCGTGGTCTTAGCTGTGGTTATAGCTGCTGTGGTCTTAGCAGCTGTAGTTATAGCTGTGGTGGTGGCCTTACCTGTGGTTATAGCTGTGGTCTTAGCTGTGGTTACAGCTGTAGTTTTAGCCGTAGTTATAGCTGCTGTAGTTTTAGCTGTGGTTATTGCCGTGGTCTTAGCTGTAGTTATAGCTGTGGTTTTAGCTGTGGTTATAGCTGTAGTCTTTGCCGTGGTCTTAGCTGTAGTTATAGCTGCGGTGGTGGCTTTACCTGTGGTTATAGCTGTGGTCTTAGCTGTGGTTATAGCTGTAGTTTTAGCCGTGGTCTTAGCTGTAGTTATAGCTGCTGTGGTCTTAGCTGTAGTTTTAGCTGTGGTTATTGCCGTAGTCTTAGCTGTAGTTATAGCTGTGGTCTTAGCTGTGGTCTTAGCTGTGGTTATAGCTGTAGTTTTAGCCGTGGTCTTAGCTGTAGTTATAGCTGCCGTGGTCTTGGCTGTAGTTTTAGCTGTGGTTATTGCCGTGGTCTTAGCTGTGGTTTTAGCTGTGGTTATAGCTGTAGTCTTTGCCGTAGTCTTAGCTGTAGTTATAGCTGCTGTGGTGGCCTTACCTGTGGTTATAGCTGTGGTCTTAGCTGTGGTTATAGCTGTAGTTTTAGCCGTGGTCTTAGCTGTAGTTATAGC